GAATCTTGGGGACCTCCCCTCTGTGTGTGGACATGGCTAGGGTCAGATGGCCTCACTCTTGTGCACACTTGTGTTTCCAGAATTCCCCTGGGTGTTTTGGGACAGCTCTGCCTCTCTGGCCCCAGGATTGACTTCCCAACCTGGAGGCTGGAAATTGTACCAGTGAGGCACTGAACTTGGTCTTTACTTCCTCCCTCCAGTATTTTTTTTTTTTTCCATCTTCGTCTCCTTACACCTTCAAATAAAAAATTTAAAAGGGGAAAAATTCCTCTCTTACCTAAAATGTGGCCTTGAGGTCTGGTCACCCTGTGCCGTTGAGATCCCAGGCATGGGATTCATTCATGAGCCTCTGGTCTAGAAGGGTCTGGTCTGTTCATTCATGACCAGGGTAATTAAATAACTCTTTGTACGAGGCAGGGAGCTCCTTGTTAAGTGGTCTTCCCTAATGCAAGTGCAAACACGAGGCAAAATCCTTCCCCTTCTCCACACCCGCCTCCCCCTTTCCTTTTAAAGGGTAGATTTTATGCTTTAAGGGAAATGGGGAAGGGGAGGGGGTAAAACAACCTTAAAGGAATTTTAGGCCGATTCAGCACTTTTCTGGGATTGCTCCAAAAATTCCCTAAACTGTAATAAAAAGAAAAAATTGTGAGCAGGCATCTGATTAGTTAGCTTTTTACAACACAGCTTTTCTTTTGGATGCTTTAAAATGCACAAATAGAGTTTTAAAACAAGCCCCTGTACAGTTTTCTGAGGAGGGAGAAGAAGTTGTTGAAAATACCGGAAAAAGTTATAAAAGCTGAGGGAAACTAACAAGGGGCTGTGAGTTTCACCTTTGGAGATGAAGTATCAGCAACTGTGATGCGAGGACCCTTTCTTAGTCCTTGTAACGAGGGGGACTCTTCACTGAGGTCCTCCCAGCTCCTCCCCTCGAGGCCTGGGAAGCCCCCAGGAGCTGAGCATCTGCATAGAACTTTGTGGGAAGATGCTTGTGGGCTGTGGGCCCGATTCAGGAAACTGTGTTTCTCTGAAGATGATGCTGGGTGCTTCCCAGAAATGAGCACAGATGCCAGGTGGTGCAGGGCAAAGGAGGGGAGTCTGAGTTGGCAACATGGGGCACTGTGTATCGGCCCCCAGGAGCAGGCTGTGTAAAGGCGGGCCTTCACCCTTGTTATAGAACCTGTTTTTGTGCTCAGAGATACAATTCAGGAGCAGTGAGGAGGTGAGGTATCAGGGTACTGGGGGCTACGGGGTGACATGGCTGCACGTAGGGGTCCTGCTGCCCCAGATTAGGGCACCTAATGGATTTTCAGGGGCCTTGTTCTCATCCAGGGACACCCACATGCTGTTTATCTGGGCTGAGCCATTAACCTCAACAGAAAAAGGCTTTTTCTAGGGGATGTCTGGCAGCAAATTGCTGGGTGGATGGCGGGCTGCACAGATGAAAGAGAAACCCTCCAGAACGTGCCCCCCTTTCCCCTCAGCCCTGCTCCCCCTCCCCTCTGCTGGCTGACCTCAGGCTCCAGCCCCCGCCCAGCTTCCTCTGCCCCCAGAGGCCCCCACCCCTTGCCGGTGGGCCTGGCACTGGGGCAACTCGATCTCCAGGCCCCCACCCCACCCTCCTCCTCCTCTCCCCACCCCCCTCCTCCCCTCCCGCTCTGCACTACTGGGTGCCAGGTTTCAGGGGAGCCGGGCTCCTGTGAAACGAAGTATTGTGGTGAGGCTCGAAGTATTGTGGTGAGGCTCGGCTGAGGGTCTCCCGAACCTCCCTCCCAGAGACTCCCTGGTCTTCCTTTCCTGGCCGGTTTGTTGTCCCGAGTTGGGCTAATAAACCAGAACTTCTTATGTTTCGAAACACTCTCCCTGCCCCAAACGGGAGGACTGGCAGATGGGTACCCTGTGCCTTCCAGAGGAGGGCTTTCTCCTCCCCAGCGAACTTGGACACCAGAGCATTTTTATTTACATGGATGTTACGGGTCTTTGGTGTGGCCTGAATCAGAGCTGAACTCCCTCGGCAAGAGGGTTCAAAGATTGCCAGCGCTCACGAGTTTATTAGCCGTTGATGGATACTTTGCAGAAACAAGTTAATGCCTGATGAGTCACTTCTGCTTGGAGCCCTTGTCCCGCTCTTGTTTTTCCGTATGTTCCGGTGTGTGTGCATGCACACACTCGTGTAATACACACTCGTATGCCACACTCATGGACACGGCCTCTCTCACTCTTGTGCTTCAGAGATGTGTGTGTGTCGGGGGAGGTGACAGGCCAGGTTTCTGGCATTGATTTTCGATGGGGTGGGGACTGAGGGGAGGAATGAGCCCTCGGGTTCCCCGTTTTGTGTAGCCGCCCCGGCAGGCACTTGAGAAGGCCAGGTAGGGTGTCTGGGGGACCCCCGCTCAGGGTGTATGTCTGTGGCCCCCTCAGTGTGTCACGGTGTACGTTTGCACGGAAGTATGCATGGGACACCTCCATGCAAAACTGGCTGCTGCTTAAAAAAAATGTTAATGGAGCTGACTGGTTCCCAGGTCCTAACATGCCTGTAAGGGTTGGAAGCAGTTGGTGTGCTGAGCTGCACTGGTTACCGGCCTGCCGGGGCAGCAGGACATGGGGGCCCGAGCCCTCCCCCGGCCCTGGCTGCTCTGCTGTAAAAGCCATCATCACCCCTCTCCAAAGCCAGTGGTTCCAAACTCAAAAAGGCCAAACAAGCCAAAGACATCTCACAGCACCCACCTTCATGCCCCAAGCCCCCAGGTCTGAGAAGCAAGGACGGACCTGGAGGGCAGGGGAGGCCCTGCCGTCTGCCCGGCTTTCCCCCTGCCTTTCCCCATTTTTGTTAACAAATGCAAGACTTCCGGTCTCCGCCCTGCCACCACAAACCACAGCGTTCCTGCAGCCCGGCTGGGCTGGGGAGATTTATGGTTCCCAGTCTGAGGCCTGCCCCGCCGGCTCCAGCTTAAGGAGGAGCTGGAATGCCAGCCGCTGGGGGCCCCCTTTCCTTCCATATACCCCCCACCCCTTTTAAAGAGCTCCAAGCGCCTATTCAGGAAAATCACCTTACCAAGATCATCACCCCAGTCTCCCCCGCTGCCTGTGGGAAGAAGCAGGTCTAGGAAGGCTGGGGTGGGGCCTCCAGGGGAGGGAGACTGGAGGGGGCAGGGCCCCCAGTCTAGATGCTCCTGGGGAGGGAGGGGGAAGAGGAGGATGCCGGCAGACAAGGGCCCTGCCAGCAAGGTTGTGTACCCGCTTTAGACACATCCTTTTCTGTCTGGGCTGGAGGGAGCTTCTGTAAGGTAGTCTGGGTTGACACCAAGCTGTGTGTTGTGATTTGGCATTTTGACGTGAACTCATGCTTTGTGGACAGAGCTTGTTGACAGACACACTGAGAATTGTTTTTCTATTAGGAAGACATATTTTTACCTCAAACCTCTTCCATTTAAAATCTTCCCGGATGGTACACCCTTATGACCAAGGCACTGATCTGAGGACGGGGTCACACGCAGAGACTGTTCAGCAGGTGGTCCCGGAGTCTGGAGACCTGGGTGCTGGGTCTGGCTGTGTCATCCCTGCGGTCTGAGCAATAAGCTTCCTGGGCCTGGGTTTTCTCATGAGGATGACAAGGGGCTGGAGCGGCTGGCCTTCGAGGTTCCGTCCAGTTTCAAGAACTATAATTTCAGACCATCTGTCTGGAAGGCCTCTGCTAGCCCGAAAACCAGGACCTAGCAAGTTGCTAAGTGGTCCTGGCTTCTGAGCTCTGCAGGGATGGGATTTCCTTTGGCCAGACGGGCACATGTGCTGGTGTCCTCGGAGGATGGGAGAAGAGGAGGGGAGAGGCTCTCCAGCTGAGCCCCATGCTTAAAAGCAAGGCTCTTCCATCAAGACTGGGTCAAGATTTCCAGGCCTCAGTAGGAGGACATCTTCCAGTACCACTGTCACCTCCTCCTGTCTTGCACTGAGAGACAAGCTGGTCCGGGGGGTACCTGTGTGTATGTGTGTGTTGACTCGAGGATGCAGAGGAAAATGCCAGTCCCCGTCACCACCAACTGTGTCTGCCATTTTGTTTTGTAGATTCCCAACTTCTTCTGGAGCCTGGGGATCGGTCACACTGGTGCGTGGTGGCATACTGGGAGGAGAAGACGAGAGTGGGGAGGCTCTACTGTGTCCAGGAGCCCTCCCTGGATATCTTTTATGATCTACCTCAGGGGAATGGCTTTTGCCTCGGACAGCTCAATTCGGACAACAAGAGTCAGCTGGTGCAGAAAGTGCGGAGCAAAATTGGCTGTGGCATCCAGCTGACGCGGGAGGTGGATGGCGTGTGGGTGTACAACCGCAGCAGTTACCCCATCTTCATCAAGTCAGCCACACTGGACAACCCGGACTCCAGGACGCTGTTGGTACACAAAGTGTTCCCCGGTTTCTCCATCAAGGCTTTTGACTACGAGAAAGCGTTCAGCCTGCAGCGGCCCAATGACCACGAGTTCATGCAGCAGCCGTGGACTGGCTTCACCGTGCAGATTAGCTTCGTGAAGGGCTGGGGCCAGTGCTACACCCGCCAGTTCATCAGCAGCTGCCCGTGCTGGCTGGAGGTCATCTTCAACAGCCGGTAGCCACATGGGGAGAGGACAGAGCGGGAGCCGAGCGGGCCCAGTCCAAACTACTTTGCTGCTAACGTTTTCCTCCTGAGTGCTTGCTTTTCATGCAAACTCTTTGGTCGTGTTCCCCCCCCCTCCCCTTTTCGTCTTTCTCGTTTATGCTCTGTTTTGTTTTGTTCTGTGAGAAATAGCTTATGAAAAGAATTGGGTTTTTTAGGGGGTGGTGGTGGTATGGTTGGCAGAACACCTCATGTGAAAAGGGGAGGCAAAAATCGGAGTACCGCCAAACACAGTGTAGGAATGGGGAGCAGGTCCCAACTTTGGGGTCATTGTTGCCCTTGTCAGGGCGTACGTGTGAGCGAATGTGAGTGTGTGCACATGCGCACGAATGCAGATGGGGGACTCGTGTGTTTCTTACGATGTCTCCGGCTGAGACCTTTTGCTCCCAAGGTTGTCTCTCTGCCCCTTGGACATGCTCAGTGGGGCAGCAGCTGCCAGCAGCAAGGCTCTGTCCCCAGCCCCGGGAAGCCCCCGCCTCACCTCTTCCCTTCTAGGACATTGGCTTCTTAGAAACAACCCTGCAAGAGGCTGAACCAGAACCCGTTTTTCCATGCCGTCTTATCGCTCCCCTGTAGCCACCCTGTTGCCATTGTCGTGTCTTTCTTTTTTTGACCATCTGCTCCTGGACATCTCTGAGATGGGCTTCCCAAGGGCTGCCGGGGCAGCCCCGTCACAGTATTGCTCACCCAGTGCCCTCTCAGGCCCCTCAGCCTCTCCCCTGCCCTGGTGACATCAGGTTTTCCCCGGACGCAGAAAACCAGCTCAGCACTTTCCTCCCCTCCGCAGCCCATGTGTTGAGCTCTGCTGTTGGACCAGCAAGGGGAGAAGCCCCAGGAGGGAGACTTCTCAGCATCCCCCTCTTCCCACCAAGGATTCGGTCCATCACAACCCAAGGTACCATCCTGAGCTGACACCTAACTCTTTCATTTCTTCTACAACTCATACACTCGTATGATACGTTGACACTGCTCTTAGCTCAATGAGCATGTTTAGACTTTAACATAAGCTATTTTTCTAACTACAAAGGTTTAAATGAACAAGAGAAGCATTCTCATTGGAAATTTAGCATTGTAGTGCTTTGAGAGATAAAGGACTCCTGAAAAAAAAACCCTGAGATTTATTAAAGAAAAAGTGTATTTTATGTTATATATAAATATATTATTACTTGTAAATATAAAGACGTTTTATAAGCATCATTATTTATGTATTGTGCAATGTGTATAAACAAAAATAAAGAAAAGATGCACTTTGCTTTAATATAAATGCAAATAACAAATGCCAAATTAAAAAAGATAAACACAAGATTGGTGTTTTTTTCTATGGGTGTTATCACCTGGCTGAATGTTTTTCTAAAGGAGTTTATGTTCCATTAAACAATTTTTAAAATGTATACTTGATTCCATGTTGTCCTCCAGCTCCTTTTTCTTCTGGTGGGAGGGGTGTGGGGAGGTGTGTCCAGAATCCAGAACAGCTGGGGTCTCCCAGTGCTTGGTTGGGGAGGAAGAGGGGTTACCTGGATGTCTCTGGAGAGAATAGCCCTGTCTTCCCTTATTAGAAAGATCTGTACCTGCATAGATGCCACCTTTCTTGTTAGGCAGGAACCCTAGAGTTTAGCTGGTGAGCATCCTGAGTTTGTAATGGAGTCAACCTCAGGGAGCCCTGAGTTTACAAAGGCGGGTGATTTTTCAAAGCTTGAAGAGTTGAGAAAAGGGAATTTTATATCGGATGATTGGGAAGGAGGTTGCCCTGGGAGATGGGAGGGCGAGGTACAGCCCGAAGACCTTGGGGTCCTTCTGGTTCCTGCTTGCTATCTCCTCACTTTAAGTCCTGAGACTGGCACGTTTCGCAGAGGAAGGTCACTGCCACACTGAGTTCCAGGACAGGTTTCCTGAGAGCTGGAGCCCTGGAGGAGAGATGAAGTGGGGGTTTAGTGTTGGGAGGAGGGATCCGGCTACCTCCTGGGCGCGCCGAGTTCTGCACTGGGCACTCTGGGGTGGAGTAGACTCTGGGGGGTCATGGAGTCCAGGTCCTGCTCTGTCTGCTTAAACCCCTTCCAGCTTTCTTGTGTCTCGGCCCCGCCCAGCCCCAACGGCACTTGCTGGTAAACTGCCTCTCGGTACTACCCCTAGGATTTCCACTCTGATCTGAGCCACGTTTTAGATTCAGGGCTCCTTGCACAAGAAATGAGTCCAAACTGGGCACCAAATGGGGCTGTTAGGTGTTTATCAGGAAGTCTTGAACCTTCAACCCAGGAGCGGGGGGTATCTGAATTGGGAGTTAAAATTTTGGACACGACAAACTTATACAATTTCGGAAAACCTTTATTGGAGGGCTCGGGTAGGATTGCCAGTTTTTCATTTTGCCAAATGACACGGCACTACAGCCTACTGGCACCACCATTTAATTTGAGGGAATTACAATGCAATTGTATAGTGAAAATGTGAACTTCAACACAACCTGCTGATTTACGGCCCAGAGCATTAGTGCCAAATGGTCATCTGGGCCAGCTTGTTCACATGCGGTGACGGGGACCTCACTACCTCTTGAGGCAGCTTTTTATCAGTTGGACAGAAAGCTGCCTCCATTTATTCTAGTTCTGCAACCTGGAAGGAGTGTAAAATTCCGTGTCTGGAAAACACCCAAGGAGGGCTCTAATTAACTCCCGGGTGGTAGTGGTGGAGGAGGGGTGGGGTGGAAGGTGTTAGATTAGGGAGCTGTCAAAGGCATTTTCGTTTGCTCTAACTTGCATCAGCATGCCAGGAAGCTCTTTAATAATAATAATAGCTACCATTTATTGAATACTTAGCCGGTTGCCAGGCATGATGTTAAGCGTTTAAGGGAATTATTTAATCCTCACTAGGACCCCCTGCAAAAATGGAGGCTTTGAGAGGTTGAAAGACTTGCCCAAGGTCACTCGGCGAGGAAGTGGTTGGGGCTGACTCTGGCCCTACTCCTTGGTCCACACCCTGAAGGGATGTTATTTGATGGAGTTTGTTGGGGTGCCAGGCCTACAACCTCAAATCAGGGGAAGGTGGGTCCCGTGCGGCATGGGCAGGGTCTCTGGTTCTGGGAGGCAGGAGCTGTGGCAGCAGCACCTTCACACCCTCCTTTGACACGTGGACTTGACTCTCAGCCTCATGAGGTTGGAACTGGGCTGCAGGCATGTGGATTCCGATGGAGAGGCTGGCTCTGGGT